GTTAACCATAGAGGTCTGGAGGTCCGTACAGACAGACAGAAAGTGATATGGCTGGGCAGAGAGAGGAATATAAGGTGGGAGGAGACAGGAGGTTGGCCCTTTTCGGTTGAGGAGTTAACAAGGTAAGAGTTGGCTGTGGCTTGCTCCTTTCCCTCTTAGCTCTTTCAGCATTTGCCCTGATATCTGGCTCTGGGTTTTATTATTATTATTATTATTATTATTATTATTATTATTATTATTATTACCAAATAGAACTTGTACAACACAGCATGTCTTCTTCAGTTGCACCTCTGAAATTGGCCAAGTTTAAATGACCATCTATCCACACTCAATCAGTTTCCTTTGCATATAATGTGTTGCTTCAATCATGTAATCATCTCAAAGAAAAATGGCCACAGTGGAGATGCTGTGGCCACCATTTCCTTTGGCCATCAAACTCCAAGTACTTTCTATCCAAATCACTCTATATTATTATTATTTATTAGGAATGGTAAGATAGCATGGGGTGTCTATTGTAGAGGGGCATGTAAGAGGGATCTAGAACGGTTTCTCAGCTTCCGATAGTGTGGTCTGAAAGGCAGAAAACACAAAGACTTCAACAATGAATCCATGACTCATGGCATACCATGATAAAGAATCTCTGAGGACACAGTTATCCAGCAATAAAGACATACAAAAGGCAAAAGGATTTGACAGCAATCTCAAAGGCCAATCAGGAATCTCACCAGACCCGGAGGAACCGCTCCAGGTGGATGAATGGTGGGACTAGAAGGGCCTTGGTGGAGTCTGTAGAAACCGGAAAAGAGTGGGCTGTGAGCTGGAAATGTGGATTGAGGCCAGAGTGTGGAAGGAAACTAAGGCGCTTGGACCTCATCCTAGTGGTAATGAAGAGATAATGAAGATTTTTAATTAAGGGTTTGGCATGATTAAATGGTGTTTTAAGGAGATTACTGTGGCAGCAGTGAATTGGAGGGGGGGAAACAAGTAAGAGATTAGCTAGGATGCTATTATAATTATCCAGGCTTGAAGCAGCAGGTGTCTAGGGGCAGTGGGAATAGAAAGGAAGGGTGGAGAGAGAGAGATAGCGGGAGGGGGTGCCAGGACAGTCGTGATCACTCAGGGATGTGCCTGACAAAAGAAAGAGGGGGCAGTAGTGTGGGGGGGATCAGGAGAGATGGTCATGGTGTGGGGGGGTAAAGGGTGACTAGGGAGCTGGCATAGCTGAACCTCAGTGGCTTCATGGTGATCTGGGACGGAGCCCTGCAGGGCAGCCAGCCTTGCTACATGGGTGCTTGGAGCGATCTCTCTCCTGTAAGTCAGCCCGACCTCTTTCCTCAGAAAGACCTGCCACCCAGTGACTAAGCAGTTACCATAGAGTATGTGTTTGGGGATGTGTCTCTACATATAACAGCAAGGAAGACGGAATCCAGGGCATTTGTTGAATATTTTAAACTTCCAGAAAATGACTTTTTGATAAGTCACCCAACTATTTCAAATGGATATTTTTAAAGGCAAATTTCCCAGGTAATATTCCCAAATGTTTAAATTTCCTCCTTCTGGGAGGCTCAGCTTTACGGCACCCAGTACTGTTCAATTACAGAGTCATTTCCATGTTGAACGTGGCGGAGGCTGTGCGGTCTTGCTGGGACTCTGCAACTGCTGCTCGACTCAGGGTGAAATGTACAAGAGCCCCCATAATCCTCCTCCTCAAAGGCCCCTTACCTAATTCTCTCATGCAAATTAGCCAGAAGAGAGCCTTCCAGATTGTATTTATCAGGGAGGTGCATTCTTCTAGCAAAAGGGACCAACTTGAAGAAGCACCACGTCCTTCCGTGCATGCCCGTGACGGATGGCGTGCGGCCACTTGGAATCCCACCAACACGGATGCTTCCTGGCACTTTGCTTTAAAAGGTAACACACCGTGCATTAAAATGTGACCATGGAACCAAAAGAGTGGCTGTGTACTTCACCCTCGGGTGTGACATTCAGCGACCAGAGATCCCCCATGTGACTCGGTGAACCCTGTTGAGATTTTTGCTACAGATTAAGGGTTCCAAACAAGTCAGGTAAGTGAACTATTGCCCCCCAAAAAAATCAGAGAGAGGGGAAACTTCACTTAAACCTTGAGAAAGAAATATTGGGAAAGAGTTCACCTTCAAATCAAGAGGAGAAAACACCCGCACGTGCCTCTGAACAGTACTTGGCTTTCTATGAGACTCACAGCTGTTTGGAATTTCTAGATATTTAATTTCTAAAATTAATTAATTTATTTTTTGTGTATGTGTGAATGTGTGCCGTCTGTACAGGAGCCTGCCCAAGTCAGAGGAAATGAACAAACATCCTGAAACTGCAATTACACACTGCTGAAAACTATCATGTGGGTGCCAGGAACCGAACCCAGGTCCTCTGCAAGAGTCGTAGCCTCCCTCTACCTCTGAGTCATCTCTTCAGCCCCCTTCTAGGTATTTTAAGTATGGGCTTCTGCTGTGAATTTAAGTAAGTCCCATGGTATTTTTAATGTGAGGGTCTCAAGAGCGGGATCCATAGTTAGTTGGAGGAGTTACAATCGCCTTGACTGTCTGTCACTTGTCATGTGGGCACTGAATGTTCACCTCACTGGTCCAGGCTTCACTTGCCCTCATCCAGAGCACAGTGCACAGACTGATTCAGGATACACCGTCAGCCGCTCAGGCCATCTCTGGTAGACGGACAGGGTAGCGGAACAGGCTTTCTTCCAGTTGAACCCGCCACGGGCAGGGACCCCGCCACGGGCAGGGACCTGGAAGGGTATGCTGAGGTCTTAGGCATCTCGTCCCCCTGCCTCAACCTCCCACCATACATGCTGGTTTAGCAGATGTTCTTAGTCACCGGTTCTGTGCCCTAAATTGCTATCATTAACCAAGTATCCCAGCATGAACTGTGCTTGATAGAAATTGGAGAATTTTTATTACATAATCAGGAAGTTTCAACAACACAGGCAGGCTGGATCAGACTGGCAGAGAGTCCCTTCCTTTTTCACTGAAGGTCCTGGCAAGCCGGAGGTCACATCTTTGATAATATCTGTGTATCCTGAGCACTGTTCTGTGGATCTGCCACCCAACTAAAATTCCCTCAGACTTCCTCAGAATGACCCCAAACTTTGATTTGAAGCCCTTAGTAGCAAAAAACTGACGGGTGTTCTGGTCTCAGATGTATTTCCATTTTTACTGAGTGGGTTAAAACTTTTTCTGGTGTACCTAAAGTTTTAGTTACTCTGTATTAAGGTAAGTTCGATTTCGGTATGAGGGTACGTCTCCCTGCACATGTATCTCGTTACTCATTGTTCCTGGGTACCATATGAGAAAACATCGGCTGAGAGAAGAAAGGCACCTGCCACCAAAACCAGTGATCTGAGCGCTGTCCTGAGGATGCTGCCCGTGTCAGGAGAAAGCCAGTTCCACAAGCTGTCCTTTGACAGGTGTACCACAGCCTGTGTCCTCTCACAGCCACAGAACAAGCACTGAAATAACAGAGAAAAAACAAACAAACAAACAAAACACCCAGTGAAGAATCCAGCCTCAGCCCATCCCCAACAACCTGAGTCAGAAGTTCGGTCTTTGTTTCCTTCAGGAAAAAAAAAATTACAAAGGTCAAAACTAATCTTTTTCCAGTTGTTGTTGAGTGGAAGTAAATTCTGAATTTGTCTGTTATGAATCTGTTGCCCTTTATTATGTGTCAGAAGTGGAGACGGTGGTGGGCTGGACTGTGGCCATGATATATGGCTTTACGGCACTCTCTTCTCCCTGTTGAACGAGCATCATTTCACAAAGTACGTCTGAAAGGGAAGGATATGCTTTCAAACCGCAGGGCTCCCAATCCATCACTAATCACCAGCGTGATCAGTGATTCTCCCAGTGATGAGCTCGGAAAATTTCAGGACCAAAGATCTCCAAACTGTTCAAGCTTCTGCTGCTGTTATCACACGCTGAACAGGAAACACAGGGTCCAAGATTCATGAAGCGGGGCAGAAGGGATGGCTCAGTGGTTAAGAGTACGGCCTGCTCTTCCAAAGGACTTGGGTTCGATTCCCAGCACCCACTTGGTGGCTCACATTCACCTGTGCCTCTGGTTCCAGGGAACTGAACAACCTCTTGTAGCATAAATTCTAATTGTTCCTAAGAATAAAAACCTGGAGGCAGATGTTAGAGGGTGGAAGCGAGATCAGAGGAGCGGAGCAGTCAGCCCCTAGAGAGTTCTTACCTTGACCAATGTTCAGACCAAAGAGGTGATACTGCCTCTCACACTGAAACCTCAGACTACACTGAGCTCCTGTCTCCTCCTGCCTTCTCTTCCTCTTTCCACCCAACCATATCACTCCTGTCTCCACCTTCCTAGTGCTGAGATTAACGGCGTGGAATCCCAAGTGCTGGGATCACCTTTGTGTGAGCTCTGGTTCTCCTGTAGCTCAGAGTAGCCTTGAACTCACAGAGAACCGTCTGCCTCTGTCTCCTGAGTGCTGGAATTAAAGGTGTGCGCCACCACTGCCTGACCTCTATGGCTGACTAGCGGCTTTGCTCTTCACTCTGATCTTCAGGCAAGCTCTATTCATTAGATTACAAACAAAAATATCACTACAACCCAACTGGACTTTCCCAGTGGAGTCTCTGAACATTAATGGTAAGCTTATCACTCTGCCAGTTTAATATCAAGAAAGCTCTTGATGGTAAAAGCTCTCGGAACAGTTGGCTGTCATGTTTTATCAGCTACACGGGAAACAAACTACTTTTGATTCAGGAACCTGGAAACCACTTCTTCCTCAGAGAATTGTGGTGGACAAGGTTAAATCACGGAGGGGGTGACTCAGGAAAGGGAACTACAAATGCCTAGTCAGTGGCCTCTAAGGCCACCCTATCAGCATCTAGAAGCCGCTTTACACCACCACTATGAGACATGCTTTCTTTTGCTTCACCTATGACATAGTAAAGCCCATAGTGACTCCAGGGTCCACCCAGAGGGCCAAGAAGGCTTAGGATCCGGTTATGCTTCTGTCACCTAATGGCTCAACTTGAAGTTCTGGTAGGATGTTCACAGATTTCCAGCGAGCCTGGGAATCTACCTGAACCCCACCACGTAGTAGTTAAGGACCTCACCAGCTCACACTTTCTCCCTGTGTGCTGAGACTGAATCGTCTCCCGCGTCCTCTTTTCTTTTGCCCTGTGGTCTTTAGTTATAAGCTGGTATGTGCCTGGCAGGTAGACAGGGAAAGAACATCACAGTGGTTAAAATCACAGACTGTGAAGGCTACCTTCCCAGCGTCAAACCCCCATTAATACCTGGGGTTGTGTGGTTGCCACTAGGAAGTTCACTGTCTGTGCCACAGTTTCCCCTGCCTGGAAAGAGAGGTGGATTTATCTGGATTTGCAGATAGTTACTGGGTGCCCCAAGCACAGAGGAGAATCAGACAACATTTCTAGTCCCGTACAGCTCTAAGTAGCAACAGTCAGCTTGAGAGATGTGTGGCAATAATAGACGCGAGAAAAAGAATTAAAATAGGTTGATGTGTATGGTGGTTTGAAGAGGAATGGGCCCCACAGACTCAAGTGTTTGAATGTGTGGCCCATAAGCAGTGGCACCATTAGGAAGTGTGGCCTTGTTAGAGGAAGTGTATCGCTGCGGGGGATGGGCTTTAAGGTCTCTGTGCTCAGGCTAGGCCTAGTGTGGTTTCAGTTCTGTTGCCTGAGGACCAAGATGTAGGACTCTCAGCTCCTTCGCCAGCACCATAGATACTAAATATCTTCATGTATGTTTTGAACATATATTTTATGTATATTTTATATGTTGCTGGAGTTACCTGTGGTCACGGGTGGGAAGTCAACAACCTTTTAGGAGAAACAGGGCATCTGAAGTTTTCCTACTCAAAAGCTTCAAGGGCAGACCTGACTGACTAGGTGTAGCCAATTGTGAAATATGCCAAAAACCAAAACTGGGGAAGTCTTCTTTGGCAGCCTGTCACCCTGGGGGTTTTCTGGCTGGCACTATTGGCTTTGGGGACCAAGCAGAGGTTTCATTCTTTGCTTCCTTCCCTTAGGTGGGGAGCCATCCCATATATTATCATATGCTAAGCAACTTTGCTGTCCTGGTCATTCTACAACACCAGATAACCAAAATATGTCCCCAGATATCCACAAACGACCCCCGAGAGGCAGTGTTGTTTGAAAGCCACCATGTTTACACTAAGCATGTGTTGTCCTGGGTTCATTCTCACCCTGCTGTGACTTCACAGTCCACTCTTTGTGGTAATCTCTGAGCACCTGTTGGCTTCGTTTGAGATGAAGACCTTAGGGCACCTCTCCAGCCTCCTCATCACGAAGTTCTTCCCCCTCCCTGAACCCAGCGCTTCCACAGAACTCAGAAGAGGGGTGGGTGTGGAGTACAAAAGCCCCCAACAGAGGGGGAAGCTGGGGAAGTGAAAGCAATCAATTTTCATTTGCATGCCAACATTCTTAATTTATGTGGGAGTTATATCCAAAAACGTAAAACATAAATATAAAAATTAGACAAACAAAAATAACAAAATTTTTGAAGTAGATGTCCAGCTTCCTAAGAACTCACAGGGACCTGAGAAGGCTCACTGGTGTTAAAGCAGATATGAACCCCAGAGCAGAGGGTCATGCACAGATCTGTGTGTGCATCACTGAAATGCGCACATCAGGACCTGGACTTGAGCTCCACCCCTATGCCTTCCTCGACAGCACAGCTGGAAGCTCTGCGTCAAAGCGGAGCACATTTAGAAACCGAATCCAGTTTTCATAGGGGATGGTTGAGTGAACGGAGCATTTTCACCTTTAGAAAGAGCAGGTTGAAGGAGAACAAGATAACTGCGTCCCAAAACCTGTTTGGAAGGGAGAGCCTTTCATTCCCCTCTGCTCCCCAGAGCGGAGCGGAGCTTGCATTAAAGGGCCACCAGCACAAGGAGGTGGATTTGGGCTCCCATGCAAAGGAAGGCAGGAAACCGAAGGCATTACGTACCCACGCAGAGCAGAGCCCGCCAGTGTCCACAGGGGTCTTATCCCATGCAATCCTCATGAGCTGCAACCATTAGCCCTAGTTTTAAAGCACAGGAAATGGAAACTTGGTGAAGTTGTTTAACTGCTCACAAGGTTACACGGATACTCAGTGTCATAGTGACGCTCAGAGGCTGGCTCTCCACTCCTACCACCGAACCATGGTCTTCCCAACACCAGTGCTTTCCAAAACGTGCACATTTGTTGGGGGTTATTGTTGGGGGTTAGAGGCGGGCCCTTGCGTGATAGACAGGTAAATATAGACTGACCACCTCAAGTTGTTTTTCAGAGTTTGTCTGATTCTGACAAAGCACTTTCCCATTGCAATACTGCATGTGGCTCTGTGGATACCCATTGTGTAGCAACCCTTTTCCTGGAGAGACACTGCACACAGATCTACTTGCCCTAGATAAGAAGCCCATGACAGACCACCAAATACCACCAAAGCCCAACTTGGTAAATCAATAAGATTTATTGGGGTTACTTGGAGGAATATGGGTGAGGGGTTACTTACAAAAGCAGACAGCTGCATCACTAAAGCCCACCCAAACATGAGTGACAGCTCACAAAAGCTGGGAACCAGGAGCACACTGCACAGCGTGCAGGCAGCAGCTCCTCAGGTTGGAGGGTGTACTTTCCAGATCACTCTGATCTAAACCTCTTCCATGCAGCTCAGCTAGTTTCAGCTTCTTCCACGTCTGTCTTGGAGTCTTCTTTGCAGTTGGGCATCTCTGAGAGGGACTTTCAGTAGCTTTATTGCTTACTCTGGATGGGAAGAGGAGCTAGTGAATCTGTTCAGTTTCAGGGACTTCCTGAAGCCTTTTTGAGTTGTTTACTTTCCTATCTAAAAAGTTTCCCTACAGGGAAGTGTTTCCATCTTGGAGAAAACTGTTACACAGCACCCTATAAAGAGGTATAAATAGGAAGAATGAACTCAGAAAGAATCCATAAGTTGTGTGAGTCAAATGAAATGACGTGTACGTAAAATGTAGCCATTCATGCCAGCATCATTCAGCCAATACTGAAGCTGAGATCTCCGCCAAGTGTGATGATGGAGCTCTAGCCTGGTCTATCCCATGTGCAAAAGTCATAAGGGCCAGTCCCTGCCCTACCTGAAAACCCATATTTCAGTCTTTCAGGACAAACACTGCTCGTTACTCACACATTCCATCCTTTGACAGAGATGTAGCAGGCGGTTTCTGTGTGCCATGCACACTGCAGGAACGGGAGAGTCTGTAGTGAACAAGTGACTGAAAATGTCGTCTTCATCGTAATTGATTTGGTGATAAGAAGCAAATACTTGTATGTGTGTATAGTACATTACATTTGAAAGTGAAAATGTCTACGAGGAGAAATAAACTGTGGAAGATGACACAGCTCTAAGGAGTTTCAAGGTCCCTGTCATCACCAAGAAGCATGCTGTCAGCTACTCATAAACACCATTTAAGTGTTTTGTGGTGGGGCCTCTTAAAAGGGCTGCAAGGTTTTAACAGCTAAAGCTGAGCCAGGAAGTCTCTCTTAAATGAGATGTGCTTGCCTCTAGCAAACAGAGCCCACTCGTGAAAATGATGCTACCAAGAAGCCATGCTTAACTCTGTTCTTTTGTGTCCAGAATTACTTCCCAACCTCTCTCAGCTTTTAAGTGGATTTAGTTGTCCACGTTGACGCCATTTGTTGTCAAAGGTTTCTGTCCCACCTGGTCCCACAGACGTTCAGTCCCAAAGAAATACACAGAGACTACATTAATTATAAAATGGTAGGTCTATTAGCTCAGGCTTTCTTATTAGCTAACTCTTACATCATACATTGATCCATAATTCTTGTCTCTGTTAGCCACGTGGCTTGATACCTTTTATCAGTGAGGCATTGTCATCTTGCTTCTTCTGTGTCTGGGTAACAACTGCAGAATGAGCCTTTCCTCTTCCCAGAATTCTCCTGTTCTTGTTGCTTCACCTATACTTTCTGTCTGGCTACTGTCCAATCAGCATTTTATTAAACCAATACTATTAACTGACAAATCTTACAGGGTACAAGACCATTGTCTCACAATAGATGTCTAGTTTCTTGTGTTCTTTATATATTTTGGAGATCAGCCCTTTGTCAGATGTTGGGTTGGTGAAGATCTTTTCCCTTTCTGTAGGCTGCCATTTTGTCCAATTGATGGTATTCTTTGCCTTACAGAAACTTTTCAATTTCATGAGGTCCCATTTATTAAGTGGGGCCTGTGCTATTGGTGTTCTGTTTAGAAAGTGTCTCCTGTGCCAATACATTAAATATTATTTACCACTTTCTCTTCCATCAGGTTCAGTGTATCAGCATTTATGTTAAGGTCTTTGATCCACTTGGACTTGAGTTTTGTGCAGGGTGATGAATATATATTGATATACATTCTCCTACATGCCAACATTCAGTTAGATAAGCACCATTGGTTGAAGATGCTTTCTTTTTTCCATTGTATAATTTTTACTTCTTTGTTGAAAATCAGGTTCCCACAGGTGTGTGGATTTACATCTGGATCTTCAATTTGATTGTATTGATTTTATGCCAGTACCATGTGGGGTTTTTTTTTTATTGCTATAGCTCTGTAGTAGAGCTTTAAATCAGGGATGGTGATACCTCCAGAAGTTCTTTTATTATACAGGTTTGTTTTAGTTATCCTGGATATTTTGGTTTTTTTCAAATGAAGTTGAATATTATTCTTTCAAGGTCTGTAAAGAATTGTGTTGGGATTTTAATGGGAATTGCATTGAATCTGTAAGCTGCTTTGGTAAGACTGACATTTTTACTATGTTAATCCTACCTATCCATGAGCATGGGAGATCTTTCTATCTTCTGATGTCTTCTTTAAAGACTTGGTGCTCTTGTCATACAGGTATTTCACTTGCTTGGTGAGAGTTATACCAAGATATTTTATATATCTGAGGTTATTGTAAAAGGTATTGATTCTTTGGTTTGTTTGTTTTTTCTAAGCCCATTTATGGTTTGTATAAAAGAAGGCTATTTTTTTTTAGC